GTGTCCCCCGGACTCCCCTGCCCCTCAGCACCAGCCGCCCCCACGCGTCCCCTCCTTCTGTCCCCAGGTCCTCTCCACCTCAGCCCTTTATCCCTCCACCCCACAACCGCCCCCTCCTTTCTGCCTCTGATCAACTTTTGTTTGTGACCTGGCCACCTCGGGTTAGGGGAGGGGACAGTGGGGCAGAGCTGGGGCTCGCCAGGTGCCGGCTTTGGGTTCTGGACGATGGCAGGAGGGGTCACCCACCTGGGAGGGTGGGCACAGAGTGTGGGAGAGGTGAGGACCTGTGTCCTGGGAGCGTGAGGGGCGGAGTGCCGGATTCAACTTCGGAGCTCTGGAGAAGTTAGGAGAGGAGCCGCTGGTGGCAAGAGAAGGAGACGTCGCGCAGGGTCCGACTGGGGCCAGGTCTGCCCAGGGTCTGAGGCGACGGCAGCAGAACACTTGTCCCCACCTGCGCCAGTCTTTGTGCCCCTTGGAGGCTCCATGTCTTCATCGCCGAGGTCAGGGTTTGGCCCGGTGATGGAAGGGACCCTCTGCCCTCCCTGTGAGTGGCTCTGGGGTCACGGGACAGGGAAATGTCACCCCGATGCTGTCGTTTCTCTGGGCTGTTTGCACGTGTGTGTCTGTCCCGTGCTTGCACACACGTTTACTGACAAGCGCCAGGCACGTCCCAGTGGTCGCTCTGTTCCATCCCTCTGCCCGGCTATGAGCTGTGTGTGGGGTGTGGCATGCAGCCTCCCATCCTGATGTGCCCCTGAGTGTGTGTGTGACACAGGAGTGTGCACGTGTGTGCTAGAGTCCCACGGGGAGTGGGTGTGACGTGTGTGAGGACACTCATGCGTACACGTCTGAGGCCTGGAAAATGTGATGGGTGAGGGAGACGTGTACACAGTGCCACTTCCCACGGGACCCTTCCTGGTGGCCCCTCTCTGTCTCTGAGTCTCTGCTGGCTCCCTCCCCTGGCTGCTAACAGCCAGCCCGTGTGAGCCCCACGCTGACCTGGCCAGGGCCCCCCCCCCCCGTCCTCGGGATGGGACATTCCTCACAGCCGGGGCACAGGCAAAGGCCTCTGGGGCTAAGGGGAGGGGTTGGGCAGCGGGCGCCCGAGGGTGTGTCTCCCCTGGCTCTGGCTCTGGCTGGGCCCCCGGGTGCTGACCTGCCGGGCCCCGTCTCGCCTCCCCCAGTATGATGAGCTGCCCCACTACCCAGGCGTCGTGGACGGCACGGCAGCCCTGGCCGACTTCTCAGAGACGGCGCCCCCGGCACCCAGAGGCCCCGGGCCCTACGGCCCACACCGGCTGCCCCTGCCCCCAGGCCTGGACAGTGACGGCCTGAAGCGGGCGAAGGATGAGATCTACGGGTGAGTGGGACACAGAGGCTCCTGACCTTTCTGAGTCCTGTGGCCACTGCCCTGTTACTCTCTGGGTCTGCTTTCTGTGTTACTGTCCAAGTCTTTTCTCTGGGTCTCTTGTCCCAGCTCCCCCTATACCACTGTTCAAACCCCTCCTTCAGAGGAAAAGATCTCATTACATAGCCAGGCTGGCCTTGAACACACTGTGTAGCCCAGACGGACCTCAAGCTTGTAATCCTCCCGCCTCAGCCTCCTGAGTGCTGAGACAGTGGGCGAGTGCCATCACACCCGATCACAGCTCCCCTCATGAGCCCTCTGCTCCCCCCTCCCCAGACACCCACTCTTCCCGCTGCTAGCCCTGGTCTTTGAGAAATGTGAGCTGGCCACGTGCTCACCCCGGGATGGGGCGGGAGCTGGACTGGGGGCACCCCCCGGCGGCGACGTCTGCTCCTCTGATTCCTTCAACGAGGACATCGCTGCCTTTGCCAAGCAGGTGAGCAGGGCCATCTGCCTGCAGGGTGCCAGGAGAACACAGGAGCAGGCAGGACGCAAGTGATGACCTCGCTGGTCTCTCTTCTCCCTAGGTCCGCTCCGAGAGGCCCCTCTTCTCCTCCAACCCAGAGCTGGACAATTTGGTGAGCCCTGGCCCTCCCAGGCCCTCTGCCATATCCCCAGAGGGCTAGGTGGGGGCAGAGGGGAGACCCTGACCCTCACCTCACACTACGGCCCTGCTGCCCATTTCCAACCAGCAGAGCCTAGAGCTCCAGAACAGGACCCTGCGGCCTGAGATCGAATCCCAGCTCTGCCACTCTCTGGCTCTGTGAGCCAGGGTAGGTGGTGCTCCCTACGCCTCTGTCCTCCTCTGAAAGGAAGGACAGGAGGACGTGAAGTGGGAGGAGGAAGAGGCAGAGGAAGAGGGAGGGGGAGGAGAAATACGGGGCCTGTTCCCTCTCTGGCCCCAAACTCCCTCCAGGGCTTCCCGTTGGCCAGACCATTCAGCAAAGGACTCTGGGAAGTGTGGCTGGGGGGCTGGGGGAGTGGGGTGTGAGGGGCGTACGAACTGCTTCCCAGGTCGCTTCTGGGGCAGACTTTTCTCTCTCCTCTCTGTCCCTGCTTCGGTCTCTTTCATCCCGCTGAACTCTGGCCTCGTGTCTCTGTCTCTCACTGTGTCCCCTCTTGTTCTGTCTGTCGCTCTGAGCTCCGTCCCTGCCCCCTCTGCCCTTGCAGATGATCCAGGCCATCCAGGTGCTGCGCTTCCACTTGCTAGAGCTGGAGAAGGTGAGTGCTTCTCGCCTGCCCAGCCCCGCTGCCGGCCCCCCACTGCCCAAGTGTCCCTCCCTATGCCATCCCAGCCCTGGCCCCCGGGTGGTCCCCCCAGTACCCCGGTACCCCCCCCAGGTCCACGACCTATGCGACAACTTCTGTCACCGCTACATCACCTGCCTCAAGGGGAAGATGCCCATCGACCTGGTCATCGAGGAGCGGGATGGTGGCTACAGGGAGGATCTTGAGGACTTCCCAGCCTCCTGCCCCAGCCTCCCAGACCAGGTGGGTCCGGGGTGGGGCACCACGTGTCACCGGGCCACCAGAGCCGGGCCTGGACACGGCAGGGGTCCACAACATGCCACAGAGCCTCAGGTGCGGCCAGCCAGGGGCACACACAGCACAAGGCCACATGCCAACAACACAGGGCTGTGCCAGTGCACACGCACGGACACACAGACACACACCAACAGCTGCCGACACCACACCAGACTCAGCTGCGCCCACGTGGGTTCAGACGCCAGCACCTGTGCCGTCTGGACACACCTGGGCCCCGGGAAAGCGTAGGAGACCTGGTGGCTGACTCAGCAGCAGTGACCTAGAGTGCGTGCAGCCTCCAGCCGTGCTCGGACCCCACTGGGCACGGTGCCATGCACATGTATGTGACAGTCGGGCACAGATTTCCCACACAGGCCCCCAGCTGTGAACACAGCCTCCCAGACAAGGCAGGACAGCAACCATTGCGGTGGCCGCGGCACAATCCCCTCAGCAGCAGTGAGGGCCCATGAGGGTCCCGACTCACCACAGACACACATGGAGATAGAAAAGTGACCCCTGGGGGCAAAAGTCCCCTGAGGGCCACATGTGGCGGTCAGAATGTCCCCACACACAGCTGTGGCACAACACAGGTGACCTCAGATACAGGACCAGCGCGTGGCTCAGAGTGACCTCGTGCTCAGTGAGAACTTTTGCATGTGGCACCTGGGACAAGTCCCCGGGGGCTCCGAGTCAGAACTCACAGCTTCACACACACGTGTGTGACGGTCCCTGCTGGCCACAGCCACCCAAGGTACTCATGGAGTCACAGTAGCCACAAGCGTGACCTCACAGCCACGTGCACATGGCACAGGTGGACACGGCCACGCGCAGGCACACGTGGCTGCACCTCTCTGGGGACACCGCAATGCCCACCGACGTCACATTCAGGGGGGCCCAAGACGGCCTCAGGCTGGTCACTTCAAGCCAACAGTAGCCCCTCAGACCCCACATGACAACCCCGGCCACACCCACAGGCCCTCAGACCGGGGTCATGCCAGTGTCCACAGCTCAGTCCACGATTCCACACAGACCTGTGGCCGGATCAGGAAGATGAGGTGTCCCCACAGGGGTGATGTGAGGGTCACCGTGGTTACAGTGGCTAGGATAGAGGCAGACAGGCACCAAGGACGGCAACCAACTGTACACAGCTGTTCGTCCCCAAGTCACCAGGTGAGAAATGTGCGAGTCACCAGAGCCAGAGTGAGAGAGAATATACACAGCTTGACAGTGGTCCAGGCTTTTAATAAAAGACACAATCCACAGCCATTTGGCAGAGGTCAAAACCTTTTTTTTTTTTTTTTGAGACAGGGTCTCACTATGCCCTGGAACTCACTGTGTAGCCCAGGCTGGTCTCAATATCACAGAGATCCTCCTGCCTCAGCCTCCCAAGTGCTGGGATTACAGGCATGTGCCACCACACCTGGCAAAACCCATCTTTTTAAATTTTGTTTTTATTGTTTTCTTATGGTACCAGGGACTGAACCCAGGGCTTTCCCACTGAGCTACATCCCAGGCCTTTTTTATTTTTTATTTTGAGCCAGAGTCTCACTAAGTCACTAAATTGCCCAAGCTGGGCTCCAACTTGCAATCCTCCTGTCAGCCTCCAGAGTGCTGGGATAATATGTGTGCACCATGCCCAGCTGTGAACCCAATTTTAAGCCAAGGGACAAAGTAATCCAGGTGGGGGGGCAGTGGGCAGGTGGCTTCCAGGGGGCACAAAGCCAGGCAAGAGGCCAACTCCAGCACAACATCAAGTTCCTCAAAGTGGGTCCCAGTTTGGGTAAAGAAATACAGTCCTGGGTCCCTTCATCTGCAGTTTTGAGCTCCTAGAATCTGAAAACTCAGACTTTGGACTTTCTTTCCCCCACTAAGTTCAGCGTAAAATCACTTGGCAGCAAAATCTGACCTGAACTAATGAGAGGCTATTTATAGCCTTTATTTATTCCTCTTAGTTAAATATTCATTCACTCTGCTGCAGAAATGTTAATGAGTTTGGTGACGGGGTTATGCCGGGATCGGGAGGAAAGTGGGTGCACCCTCATTTACCGTCTCCCTGCCGAATACTCCCGGCCCCCGCGGTCTCCGCTGGACGAGCAGACTCCGCGATGGCCATGCGCCTTTCCATAAATTAGCTTGCCGAGTCCCTACCACAGAACAGCGGGCACTGCTGTCATCTAGAACTTTCTAGTTGAGGAAACTGAGGCACGGAGAAGTGCTGTGACTCGCCCAAGACCACACAGCCAGCAAAGACCAGAAGCCAGCGTCCCCTGCAAGACTCCCCGCTCAGGCCCACTGTGCCGTGCGACATCCCACCCTTCGGCACTGACTCCCAACTTTTGTTCTCTAGAATAACGCGTGGATCAGAGACCATGAGGACAGTGGGTCTGTGCGTCTGGGGACCCCCGGCCCATCCAGCGGGGGCCTGGCCTCGCACAGTGGGGACAACTCCAGTGACCAAGGTGAGAGAGCTGGGCGGCAGCAGGGAAAGGTGGTGAGACGTGGGTTAGACCCCAGGTGGACTTGTAGGGGGCACGGACAGCGAGGCCAGGGCTCGGGGTGGGTCTGGGCCCCGCGGCCCACTCCTTGCTGTCCACCAGAGCCGTGCGCCTGCCCCTGCTCCAGGAGATGGGCTGGACACGGGCGTGGCCTCACCCAGTTCAGGGGGCGAGGATGAGGAGCTGGACCAGGAGCGGCGGCGGAACAAGAAGCGGGGTATCTTCCCCAAAGTGGCCACCAACATCATGCGGGCCTGGCTGTTCCAGCACCTGTCAGTGAGTCCTGCTGCTGGGGACGTGGGGACACCGGCAGGGCCACAGTGGCCAGGCAGGGAGGGACCCAGGATGAGACTGGAGGCCGACAGTGAAAAGACGCGCAGCTCAGCGGGGCTCAGCCTTCCCTGGGTGCCAGGCACTCCTGGGGGCCCCCACTTGTCCAGTGCTCCCCGCAGCCCACCGACCCCGCATCCCACCACCACCCAACACCGTGAGGGAAGGTCCGGTAGTATCTGCCCAGAGAGGTTAGGGGACTCGCTCAAGGCCACACAGGCTGAAGGGTTGAGACATGGGCAGTCTGGCTGTAACCACTGCACCACACTGCCTCACGGAGAGAGGCAGGGAAACAGACAGGGAGAGGCTGGAAAAGAAAAGAGCGATGGAGAGGGGCAGTCAGAACAAAACAGACAGCGGGATGAAAGTCAGTAAGCCCAGCACCTTGGGAGGCTGAGGCCAGAGGACTGCAAGTCTGGGCTCAGCCTGAGCGACTCATCCGTACAAAACAGAAGGCTAGTGACGTAAGTGGGTGTGAAAGCCCGGGCTCAGTTCGCGGTCCGGGTAAGCTGGGACCCCCGGGCGACTCGCGCCCATCGCTGGAAGAGGCGCGGCGGAGTCACTGCCTTGGGACCAGGCGGGTGACTCCTGTGGTGGCCGCAGCACCCGTACCCCTCGGAGGAGCAGAAGAAGCAGCTGGCGCAGGACACCGGGCTCACCATCCTGCAAGTGAACAACTGGTCCGGGCTCAGTTCGCGGTCCGGGTAAGCTGGGACCCCCGGGCGACTCGCGCCCATCGCTGGAAGAGGCGCGGCGGAGTCACTGCCTTGGGACCAGGCGGGTGACTCCTGTGGTGGCCGCAGCACCCGTACCCCTCGGAGGAGCAGAAGAAGCAGCTGGCGCAGGACACCGGGCTCACCATCCTGCAAGTGAACAACTGGTGTGTGGC